CAACCTCCTTCAAATTATCCCCGTTCCCAAGAAGCCAAGGACCACAGGACTTAATGACTTTAGACCTGTCGCCCTGACCTCTGTGGTTATGAAGTCCTTTGAGCACCTTGTGCTTTCACACCTGAAAGATCACTAACCCCCTCCTGGACCCCAAACAGTTTGCTAACAGAGCCAACAGGTCGGTAGACGTTGTCAACTTGGCCCTTCCCTACATCCTCCAGCACCTGGATTCCGCAGTTACCTACACCAAGATTCTGTTTGTTGTTTTTCAACTCTGCCTTCAATACAACTATCCCAGCTCTGCTTCAAGAGAAGCTCTCCCCGCTGAGTTGTATTTACATATGAATCTATAATAAAGACTACACATTCATTCAAAGCTGAACCAACCAATGGTCAGAGATTTTTTTTTCCTTCTCTATACAATGCAGCATCTTTTCTGTGCCAATGTGTAGCTGGGATTTTATCCTCTACATTCACCTATATTTTGTTTATTCAGAGAGGATAAAAAAATAAAAAAAAAAAAAAATAAAAAAAAAATCAATAAAAGGCTCTTGTTCAGCTTTAAATCTTTTTCTTTATTTTAATAAAGACAGACTTTTCTAATGATTTATTTGGAAAGAGAGAAATGCATTTTCTCCTCTGTATTGATAGACACTAATTATTTTAACAGAGAAAAGGAACACATTCAAAGAGGAGGAGTTGGCCCTGTCATAATGAAACATTACTGCATGAAGCAGGTTTTAACCAAAACGTCAGCCCAGCTTTATTCCACAAAATAAGCCGATGAACCCTGTATTCTCTCTAAGAAATATTAAACTTCCTGTTTTCTTTGCTTCCTGTACTGAAAGGCTTCAAAGGTCACAAAGTTCAGCCTAGTGTTTAGAAGCCATTGGTCCTCCTGTTTAGCTTTGGAGCTTTCAGGGAGGCCGCTTCATCATTCCGAGTTAAATCCTCTTCTTCGTGCCAGGGCCTTCCTTCTCTTTAAACAGTTAGCTCAGAGAGCAGCAGCCCAAACAGAGACAAGAGATAGACTTCAGTTTGGAAACAAAGATGATGAAGGAGCTACTATCCAAACAAAGACAGATCTGGACCAATCACAGTCCACAGACAAAAGCTCTGTGGTACCTTAACACACATTTCTCAAAGGTTTCTACATCCCGTTTTATTCTGAAACCAAGCGGACTGTTTATAATGGAAAAGTTCAGTCTAACTGGGAGCAAACATCCAGGTTCTAACTGTAACCTGCACAACCAATTAATACAAGGTTCACCGATATCTTCCAATACTTTGGGTTCAGACTGTTAAACACGGGTGGCCAAAGGTGTCCCTGACCTGACTGGACATGAACGCAGTTAAACCTGTAGCGTAATGCAGGCCTGACCTTTTTAGAGCCACAGTGCAATCAGTGTTTACATCCGAGATGTCAGAACTTATCTGGTCTGTTTCAAACAATAATCCAGTTAAATCCACCAGGGTGGGACTCTCAGCCTGTTGGACTGAACTGCTTCTGTTCTCAGCTTATCAAGGATTTAGTCGGCTTTCCTGTTACACAACAGCCTGTGGAGACGGCTTCTCTGATGAAGAAACGAGTTAGGAAACAGTCAACATGCTAAGGTATCCCTTTTTGTTCCCTTCAACTGAAATCTTCCCTTTGATTGTCAGCTCTCTGAGTGCCCAATAGAAATGTAAAGATCAGGCTTTCCCTGGAAGATAAAGATTTCCGGTGTTCTTGGATGTCCAACTCTGTTTAGTCAACAAAGCATCCATCTTTCAAAGTATGGATTTTTACTGAACTAAAACTAGTTAAAAGTATATACAAGGAATGTTTATCTGTTCATTTTAAAGTGTGAAGCAAGTAGGAAAGCAGTTTTGTTTTATTTGTTTTTTTCCAGTTTGATCTGATTTTATAATCAATCAGTGCTCGTCAAAGGAAAATCTGAACATTTTGGCATATTGGTGCATCTCCAGAGCAGGTTAAGGCCCCGTCCACACGAAGTCAAAACGAACACGAAACGCTGATATTTTCCAAAACGTTTGTCGTAAAGACGGAGACGTAAAATAAATGTAAGCGTCCACACGAATGCATGAAAACGCTGCAAAATGTATGCCAGGCCTGTAAGTGGCGCTGTGGTGCCAAAGCAAAAATAAGCGACGAAATGTTGGGCATGCGCACTAATATTTATACATGGTTGCCCTGCGGGTCCATTTTCGTGGTTAAGTCAAATTCAGGTGCTGAACTATGTGGTCGATATTGCTCTGTTTTTCCTGGAGATATTCCAGAAGAAGAAGATTCTGTTGTAAGCCCGACAGCAGGGTGAGTAGCATTAGCAGCAACCATTCAACACAGTACGGCGCCATTGTTGTTGTGATACTGTGTCGCGCATGCGTGTTTAGAGGCGACGCTATGACGCATGCGTGTAAAAAAAAAAATGCGGTCAGAGCTTAAAGATGGAAAGGCGAAAACGGCGTTTCAGAATCTTCCCACTCTGAAGGCTGAAAAAAAAAAAGATCGTTTACAGACCCCCGAAACGCCGGCTTCGTGTGGATAAGAGGCTGGTTTGGTGAAAAATTTGTGCGTTTAGGCCAGGGTTCGGCTTCGTGTGGACGGGGCATAAAATTGGTGATCTTATACCAGACAGTCAGGACATTATATAACAGGATACTGAAGATTCAAACAATTTGACAGAATATCTTATTTTATCATCTGTATGGCTGGTTTCAGCTAAATCTCCCTGCTTCTTCCAAATGAGTATGTCAGCGAGAAGAACACAAAATAAGAGAAAGAGCAAACTAGGACCTTAAACTATCAGAGATTAAAAATAACCATTTCAAACTCAGACATCACAGAGCTGTAAATCTAAACAGCCTTCTGTCCACTTTCTACAGATTTCTGCTGCATCATTCCAGAGCATTAAGCAGCTGTTCCTAATCTTACCTGTGCACGCTCTCAGTCTGGTTCGCATTAAAAAATTCTTGATCTGAAAACCTTTCCATGCCTCATTGAGACTCCAGAAGCTTCCAGGTGGCTTCCAACAAATCTGTCCCTCCTTTACAAAAAAAAAAAAAATAGAAATCCATCTGCTTTTGTGCTGCTGTTCCCAAATTCGGTTTAGAAAAGATAAAAGCTCAGTCCTAGTTTCTTTTGTTTAGCACCTCATCTACACATCATGAATATTACCATTCAACAGTGGAACCCCCACAATATTTTAGCATTTCTTTATCCATCTCTGAGGACTTGATCAAACGAGTGGTAATCAATGGTAACTGTACCAATTTAGAACAAACAGCATAAACTGTTACTAGTAATACCTATCAAAGATGCAGGCTTATGGTGAGAGCAGACATCCCTATCCACCTTTAACTTTAAGCTAACCCCTTGCTCACACTGGCTCCGGTGCGGTTACCGAGCCGACGGGGGGTGATATATCCAGAGGGGAATATCCAAAATGCCTCCTTAAAAAGGTGATCAGAATCTGATGACTGATGCAGCTCTAAGATAACATCTCTCCAGTAATTACAGTTTCTACAACAAGGTCTCCTTTCTGACGGATGATGCAATCAGACTGCCTCTCTTTGATTCGAGTCCCTGGAGATAATGACCTTAAACTTTGAGGCGCTACACATTCATGACCTTATCTGCAAAATCATCGGAATAATAATAAAAATCCCCTGAACTGCAGATCCTTCACCTTAGTTGTGCTTAGATATTTAAAAAAAAAAAAGCAATAGAATCCATTTTGTATTGTAGATTTTTTTAAATTAGTGAATTTCCACTATGGTGTGTGGACTTTCCTAACACCCTACCTTCATTTCAGCAATCTACACTGAGCCGTTGCTGAACGAACCGAACAGGTGGAGAAACCTGAACAATGTTCCGCACCATCCTATATCACTTAACATCAAAAAGTTCTGTCCTAAAACCAAAGTTTTCCTTTATAACCAAGACATTTTTTAACAAATTACCAAGGCGTCACATCAGTGACACTCACCCTGGTGAAGTGGGATGTTCAGCAGTTTTCTCAGATTTAGATCCGGTTGTTGGCAGGAAAAAAATGCTTTTGGAATTATTTTGCTATGCGGCTCAGGCAGGAACTAAATATCAACTGAAAGAATTTCTCACTAAAACTAAACTGATAAAAAACTGTGATAAATTAAACAAAGACAGTAGTAGAGATCTACATAACAAGCAGCTCAGCTGAGGATTGGAAAGGATTCACATAAGTCCAAATCAAAGTTGGACTGAGCCACAACAGGTCCCTGGGACTCTTTTTAGTCTCTACATGGAGTCACTTTCTATCAATAACTAAAGGACAGCAGCTGTCAAACTTAATGTTTCTCTGAGAGGAGCCAGCAGCTCTGCAGGACAGTGAGACCAAACCACAGCAGCTTCCTTTAGGAGGCTGACAGAACATTGGAGAGCAGCTTATCACAGCATATTTAGCACATTTTTAAACTACAGATTATGTTGATGTTGGATTTAAATGTGGAAACATGTAGAGAATATAGTCCAGATTAAATGTCATCCAGGTTCTGGTCACAGCAATCATTTGTCCAGTGTTTGGTCTGTTTTCTGACAAAAGAGAGACAGAAAAAAAAAACTCCAGGTTGATGCAAATGAATCTGCCATTTATATTATTCCTACTTTAAACACAGTTTATCCCAAATAAGATGGTTTGTGTTTTTACCATAAATCTGAGGTGGTCTGTCTGGGTTAAGGGGGGCAGCGTGGGAAAAACCTCAGATTCAAACACGAAGCAGATTGAAAACAGATGTTCTCAGGTTCAGCTTATGTCACAGTTTATCTGCTGGGCAGAAAACGACCAAAGCATCCGAACTGAACCCCTGGTACCGTGCTACAGGTCGGCAAACATATGTGGTGGGGTCCAGTGGAGGAGTTTAACGGAGCAGCAGCCCGCCTGCTAAGCAGCATCCGAACAAACGAGCAGAACTTCCTCCTGTGACTCTCCTTTTGTCCTTTAGCGGTACTAAAGGTTTCTCACCTTACTGTGGGTGCAGCCCATTCCTCCACCTCCTCGGAGCTCTGCTCTTGGTTCCTCTCGGCCGCTCCGTCCTGATACAACCGCTGCTCTGAGCCTCCTCACAAACTTTCAAACTGATGAAAAAAATTGAACGCACCGCGGTAGAGGCAAAGCGAGGGGTGGGGCTTATTCGTGATGCCTTCAGGGAAACTCAGGAAAATATCATATAGTTTTGTTTTTATATAATTTAATGGGTTTTTCTTGACTAATTATTGTACACGTTAATAAAATATACAGCATAATTGTATCTTTTATTGTTTGCTTACAATTTGGTTTGAAAGTTGTTCATCATTTTATATTTTTCCTGAACATTTTTGTATTCTCTTTAACTGTTAACCCGTTTTGTTATATTATTTTAAGATTTACATTTTCTTCTACATTATTTCCTTGCTTTGTTAAACACGTTTTTTACTTAACCTACCTAATTCATTCTTTTTTAGACATTATATTTTTGGGAGTTGGCTCAGAATTCGTCTTCCTGGCTGTGTGTTTCCCGGACGGGCCGCCTTTTACAGTTGCTTTTTGTATCTCTGCTTCTGTCTCCTTGAACCCCAGTCGGCCTTGGCAGATGGCCGCTCACACTGAGCCTGGTTCTCCTGGATATTTCTTCCTGTTAAAGAGGGAGTTTTTCCTCTGCACTGTCGCTGCAAGCATGTTTAGTGTAAGAGATTGCATCCAAGTCAATGAGTCGATGCAATCAATTGGTTTTCCTTTGATAGAAAACTTTGAATCAATTTGACTGTATGATCTGGTGAACTGTAAAGTGCCCTGAGATGACATGTGTTGTGAATTGGCCCTATAAATAAACTGAATTGAAACTGAATTATTTTGCAAAGATTTTTTAATTGTTATATCATGTAAAAGGGCAGATCTGACTAATATTAACAGAGAGTCATTGAATGCTTCACATGTTGTTTGAATAAATTTGGAAATGAAGTTTAGAAAATTATGTCAAACAGGAAACAAATTTAAATGACCTAATTTTTACCCACATTAGCCTAACAGCTTTAGTTTGACATGTTCTTCTAAAGTTGTATAATGTCTCACAGCGCCTGAAGCAGTGCCTCAAAGCCAGACATGCGCAGCAGCACTTCTTTGTCTGTAAAAGCAGTTAAGGTTGTTGCAGGGTCTTTAGAGGTTAAAAAATTGGCTTATAAAACGCCCCTGTGAAGGTCGTTCGGTTTGTTTGCTTCAAACCTTTAACTAATCATAGAAAAATGTGAGCATGTTGTGACTTTCAAGCCAATAAAACCTTTATTTATCTAGCAGACATGTCTGATTCCCTCTGTTATCAAAATACTCTGAGCTGCCTCATGTGATTTCGAATAGGATTTAGTGATTTTTGTTGTTTGTTTTGTTTTTGCTTTTTTAAGTGGCTACAGCTTTACTGATAACATATATACGGGTGGTAACTTGAATGACATGCTACCCAAGAGTTCTTAAAACATTAAAACACATCTTTGAGTGGATCTGACAGCATTTTTTTTTTTTTTTAAAGAATAAGTGATCTATTCTTCGGTCCAAGAAAAAACATCCAATTATTTTGTCATTAAGTTCCACTGGGGCTGGAATTGGCACCAGTTCTTCCTCCTCGTCTTCAACATGTCCCCTGTCAGACTGCGCTGGTTTCATTCTTTTAAGCAACACTTGATATATCTGAGTGAATCAAGCTCACAACCCTATTAATGATGCACCTCAAATTCAAGTTGGACATCTGTCTGCCTCGCCTTATGAAAACAATGACTTCACCACATGTCTTCCCGCTGATGTCACAGACATTTCGAAACACTATTTTCCTATTAGTTCAATCCAGTAGACGATACGTGATTAATGTAATCTCTGCAGACGTGCTGGGGTGCATTGATTAATTTTGTCATGGAACTAAAGAACCCCT